GGCGCACGGTCCGCGGTCGGAGCGAGAATGTCGACCGCTACGATCTGTTCCTCGCCTTTAAATATGCGCAAAAACTACCTCCCACTTGTGAAAATCAAGATGGCGCCTCGACCCCACTCGAGGCACGTGCTCTGCTCTGATTGGACGCGACATAAAATGATTTATTAGCGACTTTTATTCAATTACTAAAGTTACTGAACAATTCAAAAATTGTAATTAATTGAAATCAAATTAAATTAAGATTTTATAAAATTATTTAAAGTGTAAACAATAGCCTTTTCACGCTTGGCATTCAACAATCAACCCTATTCATCACATCCTCCGACATATATATATATATATATATATATATATATAAATATAAAATCCAAAATATTAACCAAGTTAGGTTAACAATCGTAGTTGTTTAAATTCACTCATTTATATGATTAGGTAGCGAAGTAATAACGGCAAAACTTATCATATATCCTACAGGATTCATCTCGACTTCTATACGCTCATAACGTATTGTTGTAATATACTATTTGTTATCGGCATTCTAAAAGAAATATTGTTTTCTTTTTCTTCAAACACGTCCCCTTAATATATCATAGTCGTTGACACGGCTGTCAAAACGTTTTTACAACGTGCGAGAGCTCGTGATAAAGAGACGTTAAAATCAAACGTCACAACTAATAGTGTTTCAATCTTGTCACTGCGGCGAAACGAGAGAAGGGCGTGACAGCAACTTGGACTAACCAAGACAAATGAATAGCTAAACCGACATACAGTTTCACTCTTCTTAATACTTATCAAGAAGGGCTAAAGTTAAATTTATCGTATCCCGTCAACAATGTGGTTGGCGAGATTTTCTATCAGACTTGTAAAGATGTTCGGAATATGTTAGAAGTAATTGTTGGATAGCGGAATGTCATAAGGCGTCCGATTTCGTAAGAAAATCGTTAGAAGAACGCGAAACTTTGACGATAAATGAGACCGTATTTTTTATTCATATGTATGTAGTACTAAAAGCTATTGTTAGCGGGAAATCGGCAGTGACTTTATTTTTTTCTAAGAGCCCGAGAAAACGATTAAGTGCCCTCCGATATTAAGTACGAGTCAAGCTAGATAGATAGCTGGTGATATAGTAGCTATTTTTACCGCCTTACCAGTCTGTTTTTTTCCCTTTAGCTAATGCTTGCCTTTAACACCAGCAAAATAGACGAGGATTTGCGAAGTGCTTTCATTTGATTTAGTTTCTACGTATCTAACACAGCAATACTAGTTCCCATAAAACTTATAAAGCAGATAAAAAAATGTACCTTATAATCTCCATTTGAGTCGGAATTTGGTTGAAATCGGAAGGATCCTCACATTGCTATAAAGGCGGGCTGAAACGCGGAAAAGCAGTACACCGTAACACTGATTCGGCTGTTTTCGGCGTAGGTACTTGATCGACCAAACCATTGTATGGTGATCTGTAGGCCCAACCAACTTGGTGCGTCTGATAGCTTATTGAGTGAGCGGGTACAACTTACTCGAATGTACCTAAGTTAGACCCAACTAAAATTGAACTTGGAAAGAGCGCAATATTTGCGACATCACATAACCCGCTTTCATAGTGTATTACATGACCATAGTGATTAATAATTTTGACTTGTAGGTATTAATATTTTGTGCGGTCTTTGTTATAATGAAAATTCGGTGTATTAAAAGTTACTGTGACATACTTAATGACATGTTATACATTACATAACTTGACATTAAACTAAACAAAATGTATTTAATTATCACTAGCTTATAACATAAATAAAAATAATTTAATATTTTTTTTTTCATATTTTTTAAATTTAATTTATTGATTTTTAATATTGTCATGTTTCCATTATTATTAACTTAGCTTGTTATGTATTTAATATATTTGTAAATTTTCACTTGTGTTGCGTTCAGTCATTTCTGTAAGCTAACAAGAAAATGATAAATAAATAAAATAGAAAAACCTAGCTATTACGGTTTTTTGAGAAACAGATCGTTGTCCATCATGTGAATGAAGTGATGAATAGGACGACGGACGATTAGTGGAGGCATTATATCTTAAAGGGTTCGGTGGTTACCCTTTCAATCATCATCATCTACCTATTAATCTCCCAACTGCAGGGTCATAGGCCCTTCCTATGGATGGAATAGGGAGACTGGGCCGTGACCCACAACGCGGGCTTGCGATTGCAGACGCAGGCTGGACCAACGGCATAACGTGCCTTCCGAAGCACGGAGTAGCTCGAGACAATAAGTTTTCGGACCGACCATTTCGAAAGTTGCTTAACTTTCACTTTGCAAGTCGAATCCGCTAACCACCTGCGCCATCGAGCTCCGCAGAAAACCTTTGAATACGAAACCTTAAAAACCAAAATTGTTTAGGCAAGTTTTCATCCCGTTGCTCTTAATATTCATCTTCAGCTTGAGGGATTGAATAGGTATGGGCAGTAATATTTTTTTTTAAGCATTTAACTGCTAGATGTTTAAATCTAAAGAAATTTTTACTAGAAAGACATGGAAGAGAAGAGATGGCACTGCCTTGCAGCCTAAGGCTAAAGAAAATTCGACACGGTCATAATAATGGTCAATGTATTCGCCCGGATAGCGAAGCGTGCGGGTTCGAGTCCCGTCTGCTGCCTGGTCCACGTAGAATTGTTTCCTAAAAAAATTTTCTTTAGATTTAAAAAAAACTATATCTATATATAGTTGAGGGATTTTGTTAAATAATCTATTTATATATTCGAAGGCCAACAATTCTTCAATTAATGCATATAATGTGGTAGTGGGTGGTCGTGAAATTGGTGTTGCTCTGATCATTACCGCTATGTTACGAAATGTCCACATCATTAATTTATAGACGTAACACCGGTTTATTGTAAAGAAACCTTGCACAGTGTCATAAACGTACTTAAGCTCATTGTCTTACTTATTAATAGAGATGATGACTATTTTTGTTTTCTTCGTTTATCATGTAGATTATCAAAAAGTATTGGACACGTATTTTTTCTTTTTTCTCATAATATAAACATTGCAGAGATATATTGAAAAAGTCGCATGACGTCAAGTTTTGGTACAATTTTCACTTAAAAGTAACGTCACGAGCCCCTACTCCCAAACTTTGACGCGCTATAACTTTGTCATTTTTTGGTTGATTGCCCAAAGAAAAAATACGGGTCCATTATTTTTTGATCATTTAACTGACGGATCAAATAGAATTTCGTTTACTGTACCCCGTCATCACCCCTATTGCAGTAATTTTGTAATGATTATAGTTTTATATTATGTGAATTAAATGAAAGCGTCTGTTATTTTTAGCCTAAATTTGAGAAACATGTATCTATGTTCTTAATCGTTATAGACACACTTTTTTTGGGTTTCGTACCGAAAGGGTTACAACGGAACCCTGATATGGATCGTAAAACTGTACTATTAATAAGACTGCTGATTGATCCGCAAGTCTGTCTTTAAAGAGAAGACTAAAGCTAATAAACCGCAAATGTTAAGGTGGAAAGTTTCGCCGAGTGTGTAATTTTCCAGTAAAATAAATAAAATTCTTTATATTTTCAGCGCTTTTTACTTCAATATCAAACTTTGTTCACGTTTTTGATTCAGTCCGATTGATCGGATTTTTATTCAGTTGTTGTAATTAAATAGATATTATATACGCTAGATCAGTACAACTTTCACCTTGTGTATGTAGAATCTTTTTTTTTATGATGTTTGCAACAGTCACTTTTAACTAAAATAGCATCAAATTTTACAACATAAATTCAACGACTTCAATTTAAATCCACTCAAATGCAGATCATATAATAATAAGAAAAATATTTGGTGGTTATAAAATATTATTTTATCAGGTATAAATGATGACAAACAAGTGAATGAATATGCTTAATAGTAAGGGGTTGCCATAGACGCTTGTGACGACGTGTGTGTGCGTTTGTTTGTGATCGATAGTGTATGGGTATTTATTTATAGGGCTGTGGCAATCAAATCCTCAGTTTTTTCGTAATCTAGTGTAAGTAAAGACTTAGTGATCTTCTTCTCAACTTCATAAATGTTGAAGTGTACGATTGTAATATACTTACTGATCTTATTATTAATATGACTACGTAAAAAGCGATATGAGCGTTGAGCGTAGACGGTTCTGTAATTTCTGTGTATGTGTTTACAAACAATACACCTCCTACTCTGACCTGTATCCTCTACCCCGTGGAGCCCTGGAACCTCATCCACATGTCAATGGATATGTCTGGATAGGGATGAGGACTAAATTTTTTTGTCTTCGTTCATCGGGTAGATTATTGGACATGTATTTTTTTCTTTTCTCACATAATCAAAACACTACAGAGAAATATGATTTGAAATGTCGCATGACGTCACATCTTGGTTCAATTTTTACTTAGCAGTGACGTCACGTGCCCCACTCCCATACTTTGACGCACTTTATGTTTGATTGTTTATTGATCAATTGACACAAGATAAAATTAAAGTCCGTTATTTTTTGATTATCTAACTAATGGACCAAATTGACCAATTTGGTATACTTTACTCCGCCATAGTCCCTCATCATTATCATCATCAGCCTATTAATGTCCCTACTGCTGGGGCACAGGCCTTCCCTATGGATGGAATAAGGAGATTGGGCCATGGCCCACCACGTGGGCTCAGTGCGGATTGATGGGTGCTAAAGACTGCAGATGCAGCCGGAACAACGACTTAACGTGCCTTCTGAAGCACGGAGGAGAGGAAGAATTTTTGGTCACCCATCCAATGACCGACCACTGGGAAAGTTGCTTAACTTCAACGATCGCAGCCAAACGCGGTAACCACCTGTGCCATCGAGCTCCTCATCGTCCCTATTATGTTATTAATAGTTATTTTTATTTCAGTGTAATCTTCAGCAAAGCGGAGGTTACAACCAAAGATGTGCGCTTTTTACTAGCAGCAAATCTGTTTAGCTTAATCCTCTTCAAAGGTTTGTTAAGGTTTGAAATCAAGAAAACGACAATTAAAAAGTAAAAATCTATAATTAATTAAAGCATTACAAAGCTACTTAACCACTTATACAAAAACGATAATAACTATTGAGGTATCGGAATGTTCACCAGTTCTTCATAAGGTACGGCACTAAAGAATTTTTCTATAGTTCTAATGGCGAGATCGACGGCGTAGTCAACTATTGGTTTACCGAACTCTTCGGCAACCATCCTCCAGTTATCGTTTAGGAACGCCAATACCGTGTCACCTAGAAAAGAAAGAAAAATGTTTCTTTCGTATCTGCCTTAATCTATATGTAAACATATGTTTTTAGATAGAATGCGTTTTCCCTTGTTAAAAATAGTTTTTACCAAATGCCTTTGTTGAAACTCAAAATAACTAGTCAGAACTAGAATTTACTTTGAATTTTCAGATAAAACTAGTTGCCACTCTGAGGTTTAGTTAAAACTAGCACTAGAGAAACTAATTTGGGATTGAAAACAAGATATAGTTTTAAAAATATTTATTAACAAGATATAAGACACAGTCATATAGTCACTTGTAATATGAATTACCGTAACCGCGAAAAGCCAAATTTTCAGGAGAGGCAAAAAATAATTTGAAAATTAGAAAAAATATAGATACGATGAATTTTGAGAACAGTTTTAACTGACTCGCTTCGGAAAAACGCGTGTTGTTCTGTAAGAACTAGTTTTGAGTGAAATCCCATTTTGAGAATTAGTTAATTCTAGTATTAACAAAGGCATTTAGTAAAAACTAGTTCTAACTAGGGAAAACGCGTTCGATCTAAAAACTAGTTTTAACTGTTACATATACATATAATAAAATGGTAGGTCAAAACTGCACATTGAATATTTTTTAAAAGAATAGTTGGGGTGTGATCTACAATCGATACCGAAGTCAAAAATATAGTTTTTAGATTTTTTGTCTTTTTGTCCTTTGTCTGTATGTATGTCTGGGAAAAACTCAGAAAATACTGAATTTGAAATGGATTTACTTCAAATTTGGCACGAATATTATTAAGAAGTCGGGTCAACATATAGGCTACATATTATCACGCTATCACCTACGGGGAACGAGCAGTGAACAGGGGTCAAAAAGTATGTGCAAATAACTAACTCCACGCGTATGAAGTCGCGGGCGGCCGCTAGTAATGAAATATATAATTGAGTTCAAGAGAAAAGTTGTAGAGCTTTTTAATGATTACAAAAAAATCAACGATAGCATAATCATCATCATCATCATCATCAGCCTATTAATGTCCCCACTGCTGGGGCACAGGCCTTCCCTATGGATGGAATAGGGAGATTGGGCCATGACCCACCACGCGGGCCCAGTGCGGACTGGTGGGTGCTAACGACTGCAAATGCAGCCGGGACCAACGGCTTAACGTGCCTTCCGAAGCACGGAGGAGCTCGAGATAGTAAATTTTTTAGTCACCCATCCAATGACCGACGACTGCGAAAGTTGCTTAACTTCAACGATCGCAGCCGAACGCGCTAGCCACCTGCGCCATCGAGCTCCTATAGCTAGCTCGAGCGATAGCATAAACCTTAGTTTTATACTTAAGTCACAGAAAGTAGTTTTTAATCCTCTCAAGTGTTTAAAACAAAATAATCTAAAGTCTTTACCAAATCAACTACTGTTATATAATAATTAATTTATCATCGTTACCACATATTCGACAAAGTAGTAGTTTATTTTGTTGTGTGAACCAATTTAAGTACATATTTATATATAAAAATGTTATCGTACAACTAAAGAAACGCAACTGACTAGTGAGAAACTGATCGTTCCAAAGGATTTTTAAATAGGTTATTGGTTTCTTTGTCATTTATATAAAAGTTATAATATTTTACTTCACTATAAACATTTGACATTAAAGTTAAGTGAAAAAGTAATTACTTTTTTCTTTAGGTCTTAGTCTGCATAGAACATTATGTAAAACAAGTCGCACAAATCAAGCGGAAACAATTAAATGTGAAAACTAATTTGCTGTTATCTGTACTTATTGTACTTAGTATTATAATTTGAGCTGTGTAATAATTAGGTTAATGAAATGTGAATAATGTATAATAGAGGATAATAAGTCTAAGGAAGTATAAACTCAGTATTTCAGTCCATCCATATCCGATAACGCAATCATCTGATTAAGCGTTTGTAGGAGTTTGATTGTATGATTAACGTATGACTATTTATTTTGTTAAAAGTGTGGTAAACATGCATACGATCCTGCTGTATGCAGTCATCATACACTATGAGTATCATAGACAAATATAATTTGCGCCGTTGCTTACTCTGACCGTGACGTGACCTACCCTATAAACACAACTTCAAAGGTCAAGTGGGAACAATGTAACAAAAAGCTTAAGATAGCGTTCACATGCCACCGATAAAACCACATTATCGGTGGCATGTGAAGCGGTGGCAAGACAGAATATAGACAAATAAGAAAAGGGCAGAGATATTCCTTATCTTATGTGACACATAAGAAAATTTATACTTGGATAAATGTCACGCGGACCAGGCCGCAGACGGGACTCGAACCCGCACCCCCCGTAATTCGGGCTGATGCACTGATCATTATGTCTGCTGCCTGGTCCGCGTGGTTTTTTTCTAGTAAAAATTTTCTTTAGAATTCACCATTTAGCAGTTTAATGCTTAAAAAAATATAAATATGTTACACCGTTACACTGTCCCCCACTCGACCCTAATGACGTGTAACTTACAAAAGAAACAGTGAAAGTGTGTTTTCTAAAAGTTACAGGTTACTTCCTTAAACGAGCGCTTTAGTTTAAGCGATAATTTCTGACATTACCCTTTCAAATAAATCACTTTTATTTAACTTTGGTGATTTGTAAATTGTGTTTGCGATGTATTAAATTTAATCAAGGAAATACCACCTCTCCGCCCATGGTTGACCTCAATCCTATACAGGTAAGAGGAACCCTTCTAATTGTTCTTCGGTAATATCCTTCCGTTCACGTGTTTCCAACGTGAGCATCGCGTGCTGCTTAAATTAGACAAATCTATGCGATCGGTTGTTAATAATTAAAATGTTAACGTAACCTATTGGCGAGCAACTGCAGTTTGTACTTTCATAAAATCGGAAAATCCTTATAGAATTCCGAAATTTTTAATAGTTGTGTTTTGTTTTTATAAGTGACGGTCGCACACAGAGATATTTATTAAAGTGTTGATTTTCTTACATCGCCACAATTTTTTTGCTCATCTTTAGTCGCATAACATTTTGAATTGTTAATAAAAAAATCAGACCTTATCAACTGCTACGAGGCTCAGTTTTGATTCATAGCCAAGCAAGGATTTTTTTAATTTATTATTTTAATAGTTTCACTTGTATCGTGATTTAAAAAAAAACACACATAGTTTTAATTTTAAGTTCGAATAAAGTTGATTTTGTAACTTTCATAACGATCATTATAGAAAAAAAAACACTTTCCTTTGACAAGCTTTGAATATTATTGACCATTCTGTGACACTAACTGAAGAGTTATTTCGTCTCTTTCAACTTTTATTATCTGAACAAAAAGTATCGGACTGTAATTAAAGCAAATACTTATACGTCTGGCCGAATATACCGATAAATAGCGGTTTAAATACAAGATTTTTTATTGTTTATAATAAAGTTATATAAACCGGTTCCATATAAGTATGTAGTACATTTTTTTCATGCATGAAATTGTGGTTTACGTTTTTGACCCGATGGTTGTCAAATCTGTCTTCCGTGTCATATGACTCGCCTAACGGGTATCAAAATTGTACTATTTGGAAACTTTGAAAGAACAAGAGCGATTCGGACTCCACCACCAAGGGTTCTGTTCAAATTTATAGTTTTCTACGTTAACTTAGAAGTTTGATTTTGTCACAGCTTCAAGGAACCGTATATTTGAGTATATGGTTTAAGTTTCAACTTAATACCTCTATGAGTTCCTGAGCTTAAGGGTTTTGATAGACAGACGGACAATAAGGTAATCCTATAAGGATTCCGTTTTGCCTCATGACGTACGGATCCCTAGAAAGTGTTTCTCGACATATTAAGTTATCACTGTTATCTCGACACTCTCAACTGTATTATTTATTAACGCGCCTTTTTTCTACTGTGGTCGTGTGACAGACGCCAGTTTTCAGATAGCCGACGGAGAATGAACGGACGGGTTCACCGATGAATGAATGATGGGCGATCTGACAGCTGCACGTTACTGTGCCGATCCGAATGAAGAGACGCGTGAAAATTTTGCTGTTCAAATTTAAATTTGACAGATTTGTACCGACGTTTTCATTGCTTAGTTTTTTTTTAATCGATTTCGTGTGAGTTCCAATTATAAATATTATATAACAAGTGGTCCGCCCTCGCTTTGTTTCGGTGTAGAGCTGTAGTATACACAATGACTTTCTTCATAATAGTTGTAAACCTTCCAAGTTAAAAAAAATGTAGCCTGGTTTAGGACCCATTGTACCGAATGCACCATTGCTCTGCTGTACCGATTTGATTTTTTTTGTGTTGGATAGTGCATTTATCGAGGAAGGCTACATGCTATATAACATCCGGCTACGACCAGTAGCAGCGGAACATCGATGAAAAATGTTGCAATAACGGGTAAAAATATTCCATTTGTGAGATTCCGTTGTGTGCGCTGGGTAAACGGTTAAAGTTACACAAAACTCATGTATAACGAAGTTGTTCCCCTTTAAAAGTTCTGCAAAAAAGTCCGCGACAGCTTAAGTCCATATTTTAAGTTTGACTCACTGTAACATTTTTCTTCAAATTTACGCAGGTGAAACCGCAGGGGACCTTTAGTTGTGACATACGAGTAGCTGTGATAGTTAGACATATGGTATCGCGGTCTTTTTTGTAGATATTGATGTCCTCTATAAAACCTTAAGTACATCACTTTGCTCTATTGTCAATGACTTCCGCAGCGTACGTGACGGTTATTCTTTTGTATTTTTGCTCACGTTGAGTTACATAATCACAGTTGTCTTATGGAACCCTAACTTTTTTTAAACTATTTAGATTTTTGACATAGTTTTGTGGCTTTACATTTATAGAATACTAGCTGCGCCTTTACCCGTGGTTTATTAGGGATATTTTCCCGCAGTAAAACGCAGCCTATGTGTTAATCCAGGGTGTCAGCTAACTCCATAGCAAATGTTATTAAAATCGCTCCAGTCATTTAGACGTTAAGAAGTAACAAACATACACACTCACAAACTTTCGCCTTTATAATATTAATGTGATAATAGCCGGATATAATTCGTACTTTCATCTGTTTTTCACAAAAGAAAAAATATGGGAATAGAGACGGATAATAATTAATGCGGGGTTCCCTCTATCTGATCAATGGGCATCGCTTCCGGAACCGCAAGATGCGTGGTCAAGTCGCGGTTTACCCGTTATCGTCTCTTCTTTAAACTGATTGAAAATACTACACCATTACAACTAACTTAACTGACTAACCGTAACCGCGCAGTTGTTTATCCGCGAGTGAACCGTTTGCGAAGTGAATTGATCTGTTTCCTTTTTGCTATTATATGCACAGACAACAGACAAAACAAACCAATCTCTTCTGTTTGGTATATTGCTTACTATTAAATGATTAAAAACTGTAATAAAGTGGTACTCACTAAGTTGTTTGCTTTCCTTGAAAAGGTTCTGTAGGTCAAACGATACTCTGTCGCCGTAGTCGAATGAGTATTTGTAATTCTTCAATCCGAAGTGATTTGCACCTTTCTTGTCCTTATAATATTTTGTGTTGATGTCCACTGTCATTCGGAGGTTAGCTGCCAATAATATTGTGAGTATGAGCCTTTGTTTAAATAACAGGTGTACTCAAATGACTAAGTATACACAAAATGTCATTAACGTTCGTTAAGAATATGCGATCTTTAATAATATGCTGGTTAAAGAGCTATAATTTAGAAACCAATATTGATTTGAGTAGAGAAGAAATAAACATTTACACACATACAGCCAATAACACGTCGCCGGGCGTATTCGTTAATGAACACGACATTAAGGAAGGATTTTTATTGACAAAGATTGTCCAACAACATATAATTTTACATTACAATTTCAAAAAAAAACATATAAATACCATACTAAAGATATGCTTTTTTATAGATGAATACAGCATTCACATAAATACAAATAAAATACAATAAAACAAACAAAAAATGTATCCACCATCATGAAAAACAGGTATACTGAATTATAACATTATTTAGTCTGTGTTACGATCCAATTTTTTTTTTTTCACAAACAACGTCTTAAATGCTCAGAGTCGTGGAAAACGTCGACACAAATAATTCCAATGAGTACAATATGAATGATGACTACCTTTTTTTCTTCATCTATCAGATAGATGATCAAAAAGTATTGGACATTTATTTTTTTGTTTATTCACATAATCAAAAAAATGCGGAGATATATTTTTGGTAATGTCGCATGACGTCACGTCTTTGTACAATTTTTATTTACTTTTAGTGGCGTCACGAGCGCCCCCTCACATACTCTTACGCGCTTCATCTTTGTAATTTTTTGATTGATTGGCAAAAGAAAAAATACCTGTCTATTAATTATTTTTTGATAAATCTAACCGTCGTTCTAAATATAATTCATTTTACTTTACCCTCTCATCACTTCTATTTATTAAAGGTTCATAAGAATCAACAACGGTTCCAACTACACATACTTAGTTTGATTTTGGCATCTCCTTCTCCGTTGATAGGGAACAGAAGTATCCTTCCTACAGCATCATAACGGCCCTTTATTGTCAGGTTACAGTGGAACTGCAATACGAAATGGCGCTTCTCCAATTCAGATCTGTAATACCAATATTTGGTTAAGTTGTGTGAGGAAGATAGGGTATAGTGGATTTCCTGCTCGAATCGGGCGCCCTTCTGTGGAAGTAGCCTCCACCTTACAGAATACCACAGTAAAATGACTCTTCCTTTTGGTGGTATTGTGTTACTATGGGTGAGTAAGCCAGAGTTCCACTTGGTAGGGCGTTGGGTCAGGGTAGACAAGGGTGCGAGTGATAGGTATTTTTGGTATCGTAAGCGTCTTCACTGAAAAAAGTTAAGTTTAATTACTAAAAAAAAAATTTGTTACCTATTACATAAAAATAGTGACTACATATTTATAGTTACTAGTAGACCAACTCGGTTTTGTTAAAATAGTTTTGTTGTTATAACAAAACAGTTATGTAAAATTTACTAAACTGTTTTGTCAATTATTACACTTGTTCTGTAATTGGTTACAATATGATTGCTTCAGAATAGCTTCATTATACTGTTATTTGGAACCGAACTATTTTGTTATCTGCAACATAATTTTCTGATGAATAGCTGTTTAATATTATCTTATTTGCAAAAATACTTTTCTACTCTACCCTGTTCGTATTACTTACTAACAAGTAAGTACTGGGGATTAGGGGGGGGGGGGGGGGGGGTTGGTTGGTGTAATCATAATGTAATCAATCACAATACTCTAGGTTCCCGAATTTATATTAAAATCAAATTTTATAAACTTAACTTATGTGTATGCACGAAACAATCTCTACAGCGCGATTCAGCGGATGTACTGAACATTTAACAAATCACGTACTTCCAATCTTTAACCGAACTTTTAAATCAGCCTGATGCTTTGAAGTTGGCGAAAATCTTTCTTAAAGATTCTGTTATCTACAGGTGTAATGCTGTTGTGAAAATCGGCGCAAGAAACTCATCAGTACCAAAGCCGGCATTAACGTAATACGACATCGTTAGTACGTATCAATGATACTTTAATAGATACGTATTACTTTAATATGTATGTCTACAGTACCGACTTTTTTACAGTATTAAATTAAATGAAATAACTACTGACGATGCAAATGATTATTTATGCATTATAGTAGCATTTATATAAATATCTCTTTCGATTTTTAAACAGAAAACAATATACATTTTTTCGCATTGTAATAAAATACATATATCTTCCTCGAGGAAAATCCGAGAAATATCCTTAAGAGCCAATCATTTCATAAGGTTGATTATATTAAAGTAAGATCCAAGGGCCGCCAGATCTTACTTATTTTCTGATGGGAAAAATATATACAATCGACTAGTACTTATGTGTACGTACAATGAACATACCTGGTGGTACAGGTACTTAAAAATATTTCCACCCACTTTACACACAGTCTGAGGACTGACTCTTTCGTATCTTATAGATAATATTGTAAACAATTTCAAATTAATACTGCCAGACACATTTTGTCAGCAGAATTTATACTTAGCACTTGAAATGTCGAAAGCAGAATGTTACTTACATTACTATATGTACCTGTACCACCTGATACCTGAAAATTGGCCACGGCACAAGTTAGCGAGTATGTATATATTCATTGTACATACTAATATTACACGATTGTACTATTTTGTCCGTCAGAAAATTAGTAACGTCAGGGCCATTTCACCAAGTCGATATATGTCACTGACATATTATGTAGGCCAACGAACAATCGGTGCAGTAAACGATATGTTTACTGCACCGATTTCATTAAATAAATGTTCGATACTGCTTTTGCTTATGTGGAATTTATCTTTGAACGCGCGTTTCAGTGAGATAAAAGGAGAAATTTATTCGTTCTATTTTAAATTGTCATGTTTAAAAAAATATTGTTTTCAAGCTTTCGCGGAGAGCCATTTTATAACTAACAATGAAAACACTACAATTGGAACGCAAATCTGACACAGCCGCGATCTCAAGTCAAAAATTACTGTATTTTTTTCAAAATTATGCTTCTTTTTCACAACATAATCTTCGTTGAAGTAAGTACGCACAATTGTAACAAAATGACTTTAATTTTTATAAACACCAAAATTTTTTTCGGAAAGGATATAATTCTCTACATTGTTACTTTTAAGTACAATTACAATATATTACTTGGCTTACATATGTCAGTTACATAATTATGTCGACTTCTTGGCTTTGGTGGCCTTGATCTTGGACTTGAGAATATTTCAGCACAGAATATTTTTACATATATTTTTTGATTTTTTAATATATCGTTTTATTTGAATGAATTTTAAGATTTTACCCACTATTAGCCGGTAAAAATGTGCTTAATTTATGTAAATATATAAACGTTACTTACTTAAATATATTTAATAAAATGATAATTAATTGCTAGGCAGTTGAGCAAAAACTAGTCAAAATATCAGTTTTTTTAAAGAAAATCTAGAAGCTTTGTCTGTTTGTTTTTATTTTTATATTACGCATTAAACTGCTTGATTTTTTTAGTTTTTAATGCGTCACGCGTCGTCTGTCATTTTGGTAAAAAACAATAATAATGTTATTAATTACTAGATATTCTTGTCTTCAAAGATATCCTCAATACTAGTTTATTTGCAAGTTGCTAATTAATTATCGTTTTTCTCAAGCAGGTAAAGGGAACGACGTCCATATAAGAGTCAAGGTGATTTGTAATCATACAAAGATGTTTAATTCTCTCCAACAATTACCATAATTGAGTTGGTGGCTAGTTAACGGATTCTGTTCTATTTACCACCTCACGCCTATACCCTTTTAGGTACAATGAAATCTTAAAAAAATAACATTAATAACAGCGCATACAAACTAAGCCCAAAAAAACAAATTCATGAGTTACCATAAACGAAACTTTGATGTTACCGCGCAGAAACATTTAGAAAACTGTTATTTGAATCTTATTAAAAACTAGTGAGTGCCCGCGACTTCGTCTGCGTGGAAAAAAATGGTTTCCCATACTGACTTCAAGTCCCCTTTTTGAAGCATTGAAGAGTAATTTATAGGATAAAAACTATCCTATATATTTTCTGGTGACTCAAACTATCTCTTTACCAAATTTCATTGAAATCGGTTCAGCGATTTAAACGAGTGAAGAGGTAACAGACAGGCAAACACACTTCGCATTTATAATATTATAGTAAAGTATATGAGGTGAACCTAAAGAGATATTGATATAATTCGCCTAGATATTTTATAAAACTATAAAATTATTAAATATATTCGGATGAGCTTTCACATGCTAGACCATAAATATAAAAAAACAAAAAAACTTAAAGAAACAAAATACGAAATTTGGTGCGATGTAAAACTTCGTAATAAACAGATTTGAGATCTATTATTTTAGGCAACATCGTATCATGTTTATTATACACGTGAAAGCAATAAAAATTTACGAAGTGGCCATATCACCTTTTGAATAGCGATAAAAAAATAAAAAAATAAAAAACAACACTATAACAAAACTTCTAAGAAACTGAAAAAAAAGTTTTATATGCCAAACTTAAGTACTAAGCGAAAAAAGGGTTGGGGGCGTATAACATGATTGATTCTACAATTTAAAGAAGATCACATGTAACGCAGAACAATATGAGTCCAAATTAAGGTTAATTTATTTTCAGACTGGGCGGTGGTGAAAGAAATGACGGTCTTCTGACCAACCAATGTTGATTGCGATATAGAAGCGTGGGGAGAAAGAAGGAGGGGATGACCGAAGCACAAGTGCAAGATGGTTTGGAGATTGGGAAAGTCAAAGATGGGAGTTAATTTTAGTTTAATTTAGAAAAGTGTAAAAATATAAATAATCTTTCTTTTGTGTCTACTATAATAAATAAATATTTCCAACACTCACACCAATTAGCCTAGCCCCAAAGTAAGCACTATAAGGCTTGTGTTATGGGATACTAGGGTAACGGATAGAATACATATACTGTACATATATAAGTATATTTTTATAGCAATACATATTAAACATCCATGACTGGAGTACAAATGCTTGTATTCATTACACAAACATCTGCCCCCACCGGGATTCGAACCCGGGACCTCTCGAGTCGGCGACACCATGAAATCCGGCGTACAAACCACTCGGCCACGAAGGTCGTCGAACTATATTTTTTATAAGTAATTGAAAGTGTAGAATTATTCAAGAATCGGATTAAAATAATCAGTATCAGGTCCAGGTAAAGAAAGGGAGATTTGGAGTAGTATTTATTACAATCTAGTTTCGCGGAAAAATCACATATCCATTGTCTTAGCTTGCCAATCGAACTTTCATTTGTATTATTATTCTATTGTATAATTTTTTTTTTCAGCTTTGTACATACGTTTTGGTCTTAAAAATTGTAATTTGTTCTATTTCTTTGTTACTTAATATTAAATTAGTTTTATTACCCAAGTAGAGGGTTTTTTTAGGCAGATCGTTTTTTTCTCTACACCTTTTTGATTAATTTTGGGGTTGATACAAATCTGCCCTAGATTAAACCAACTTCATCCTTACTGATGGGTTTAGTATAGATATAGCCAAAGTCTTAAAAAGAAATGAAAAGTAATATTATCTCATTCAATTTTCCATCATAAAACCCTCTTGGCATAAGTAATTTGACAATAGTATTTGTGTTCCTATTTTAGTGGGTAAGGACATCTGATGAATGGGTTAGGACAATGTACTATATTACCTCATTGAGTAAAAAAGAAATATTTCAAAAGGATATAAAAAAATCAACGGAAAAATATAAAAAAAAACCTAAGGAAAAAACAAACTAAGTAATCGCTATATAAATGGGAAATTTTTACATAATAAAACGTGTTAATGCGTGCACGCAATAAAATACACTGAACGTTTTGGATTATACATCAATATATGACGATTGATTAAATAAGTATATACATTGCCTTGACTGTTTATCGGATGTAAAATCAGGAACCTGGAGGTTTACTCTCTTTCTCCGAAACGAACTTTCGATAGCGAAGTTCAAACGAAATTTAATTTCGCCAATTTAAGGTTATACTTAATTTGAACGATTAACTATCAAATTGAAGCTTTCTTTGAGTAGGCTTAGAAAATCTATACCTTAATCTATATTCCGACGACGAATATTATTATAATTAAAAACGAACCAGAAACATAGTAAGAAAAGTGCGAAGTTTCGATCGAAATTTCGTTTTTCGTTGAATTAGAGTAGGCCTCTTGTTTGGAACACTGGCCTAAATGGTCGCGAACTACAGGCCATGCATGCTGGTTTTTGTCTGCTATAAAACTCATGCAAATACATCACAAACAATAAGAGATTCGAAAATTAATATCCATAAGGAAACTAAATACCTAAGACTATCCAAACAGCAACTTACCAGCGGCAGCAGTCTTTTGGAGCCAGATTCTTCGAGAGTTATAAGTTATAAAAGGAGTTTTAAATATCTGCACTTCACTTCACTTCACAACAAACTCAACGTAGAGTCCTATTTATATTCTTGATACATTTGGCAGTATTTATTACTCAGGAATTTGAAAGGACATCGACGAAATCGGCCCTAGTATGCCCAAAAGAATGTCCTTCACTATTATTTACAGCATTAAAAATCAACTGATAACTAGATTCAATAGGTTTCAGTCTATGATAACGATTTATTTTAATAGTTTATTGGCTTCGTTAATATTTTATTTTATTTAAACGGGTGATTCTGTTAAAAAGTTGTGTCAAGATTGTTTACCTTAATGAATGCAATATAGGCGACCATAGGTATTTATCAACATAAAAATAGAACTAGGTACCTTAGTCAATAATAGTTATTACTAGTATTTATATTATATTTATAAAAAGATTATTTCTGAAATTATGTAAATATAGTTTATACTCCCATCCCATGTAATATCTGTTTATTTTTATGAAAATCATATTGATAACCAGCTACATACCTAATTACCTATAGTAAAATATAGAAACAGGTAAATGGAAAGACCGAACATTTCATTTGAAAAGAAATCTATTATTACCTACTACAGGTAGGTATAGGTATCATAGGTGCCAACTGACAACACTCATAAATCAATATGAATATAAGCATTTATTATTTTTATTATTAATTGCATTTTATGTTCATTTAATGCATATTATTTCAGTGCTTACATAGAGGTAAAAACTAAATCTATTCAGAATATATAAAGTGTACATCTTTTACGATTAAGTATAATAATCATAACCTCAAAATCTAATACATTCTGTAGTAGGCCACTGTTCCTCAAGTTGTCCGTATCTCAACAAATGCTTAATTAGAGTTTATGAATGATTCCGAACACAACTAGCATTTTCTCATTGCTGGGCGTTCTAGGGCATTCAATGTATGGGGAACGAGCAATGTCCTTTATAACTGAATTATCACAATATTTATTATTTAGACTACGACAGTGAAGGGATTGAATCACATCAATTATCTCAGATAGACACTTAGGCCTGGACATCTATTTGGCTTCGCGCAAAAGGTACCATCTAATAAGAATAGGTGTATAGGGCTATGCGCCTATTCTTATTAGATGGTACCGTCGGCCTTACTTACTCAATTTAGATAGGCTCATAGGGCACCCAATACCCTTACAGATGGTGGCGTGAACAAGATAGTCACGTAGCACCCGGATATACTCATTTTAGATTAGGCTTAGGTTATACATATTTATCTTATATGGAAGTACGGATAACCAGGTTTTGTTTAAACTTGGGAAAGATAGAGAGAACCCTAATATTAGTACTTAGGTTTGGCAGCAATACTCCAATAAGTATTCATTTAACGCATTCTTGATTTTGTTAATTAAGTACACCTACTATTATTTATAACTTCAGGTTTTATTTAATGTTCGTTGGCTAATAAATAAATGAACATCTGTTTTTAGCGGGATTCAGTTCTCCCCGACGATTGGTTCCGCAAAAAAGGTTTCTGTCACTAAACCCACGGGAACATCAAAGCAATAAAAAATCTGTACTGGACAGTATGAATGATTTCAACCGTATAAATATTACTTATAGGTTTTATGTAATAATTTGTAACAGTGGGCATTCCATTTCTGACATTTTACTGAACAACAAAACTTGTAATAAGCCTTGAATGCCTAAGTATGTAGGTAATTTTTAGTATGTTTAACCTAGCTGTTAGTTTAAGTACTTACTTTTACTTAAAAAATATCTGTATTATTAGCAATCGCAAACTAAATAATGTGATGCTTTTCCCGCCCCTGCGCGACTAAGCTTAGTACTAAATGCGCTAACGTTAGCGTTCGAAATGCGTATGGGACTTTTCCCATACGCATGAGCACCTATTTCAGAGAAAAAAGCACCAATTTCTTCGATTAAAGGTACTTACATAACATTATCAACAATGCATTTTCGGAATCCGGTGACCTTTCCTTCGTAAAATGTCACTTTCAGCCCGTTCAAGGGAATGGCTAGTTTTTCAATGACGAAGGGGTCCAGAGATGGTACTCCTAGATTCGGCATTCCTTTTACGAAATCTGGGATGGCCTCCTGCGTCGATTTGACCAGACATTCTGACCAGCCAGTATGGTTGCACGGATGAATGAAATCAGCTGGAATAAAAATAAATAATAAATAAATAAACATTTCTCCCACACCAATTAGCCTAGCTCCATAGTAAGCACTTTAAGGTTTGTTTTATGGGATACTAGAATATCGGATAAAATAAAAAATACTGTATATTGTTTTAAGCTTTCATCCCTAACATTATAGTAATTTATGTTATTTACGGGAGTGTTACCATGTACCTTGTTTAAGTTAGTTTCCGATATTTCGGCACTGTTGCAAGCACCATTATTATTGAGTAACTGGCTAAAAACAAGGAACATGGTATCAATCCCGAAAATAGCATAAATTACTATAATTAAAACACTTGTACATATATCATATAATTTATATTTAGGTATACATAGAAATGTATCGATGGCGCAAGAGGTCCGCGCATTTTGCTGCGATCATTAAAGTTAAGCAACTTTCGCCGTGGTCATTGGATGGGTGGCCAAAAAGTTACCATATCGAACTCCTCCGTGTTTCGGAAGGCACATGAAACCGTTGGTACCAGCTGCATCTGTGGTCGTTAGCACTCATAAATCCGCACCAGGCCCGCGTGTTGTGTCATGGCATAATCTCCGTCACACAAACATTTAGGTCATCAGAATTCGAACCCGGGACTCTGGGAAGGCATGGGCTCTTAGAGTATACATTAAACTAATAAGTTTACTGTATACTCTAAGCATGGGCTATACCTTGAAACATGGCGTATATATCATTCGTGCCAAGGAAGCCATCAAAAGAAAAAGACAATGCATTTAGCGTTTTTTTTCCTGTAATTGTATTGTATTGTATTAGATTTTCCTTTCAAATTTATTGAGCAATCGTGGATACATTTATCACCTTACGCCCATGTGAATGTAGTGTAATGACCAATCCTCATATTTTGACTAAGGTGTTGAATTGTGCAGTTAGGTTTCATAGAGTTAGTTCGTTTAGAGTTAAAAACTCTGAGGAGCTGTTATTCTCCCTTATCCCTCCACCACCTTTTCTTTAGTGGACCACGCGCGCTGGCCTGCGTTGCCAACCACTTAATGCGGCCACTATTCCTACACAAACAATTCTTTGTAGTACTATTCGTAAGTGGAATTCTTTACGCGCGCAGTAGGGAACACCTGCGCGGTCCTGCCTACCTTTCTATAATCTGGGGTCCTTTCAGAGAGATGTGAAGAAATATTTTCGCAGGCCGGCAAGGTGAAGATGGTTGGTGTAGCAGTTTATAACTGCTGCACCAGCCATTTTCACGTTTGGACTTTATCACCATTTAACATCAGGTGGCGAGAGTCATTTGCCTACCTCGCTATAAAAAAAACTTGGCTTTCATGAAATCTATCTACTTTTTAACAGTGCAAATCATATGGTCTCCTCTTGGCAAACTTAACAAGTTTACGTTTTTGGTGGGTTCAATGTCTCTTATTTGCAGTGGCTTTTAATGCAATTACAATGACGATACTGAAATATAATCATCACTTTTACATTTATTCTGTCATAAATAGGATTAAAGTAAACATTATTATTCGTGCTTTAACATTTGAACGTTACTAAAATATGTAGATTATAAAACCTGATCCCGAGATAACACACTATGAATAATTTGGATTAATTATGCTGCTGAATTATAACTTCATAATTTATTTCATATTAATACATACGAAACAATAATAAGGTTCGAAAACATAAAACAAGCCGTGTGTACTTACTGACGTTTGCTTGTTTCCTCAAATCATTAGAAGCATGTTAATAACTTCCTGTAATAAAACTGTGTTTTTAAACCAATGGAACGGCAGATTCTGAAGACGTGAAAAAATATTTACTTTACCCGTAGACTTAATATTACATCATTTTTAATAACGAATCGAATACGATTTAGAAACTGAATTCGTTTTATACTGTAAGAGAGATAGGTCATAGCGGATTATCCTCTCGGATGGGAGCGCCTGTGTAGAGATGTACCAGTACCTCCTTACAGGAGACCACAGTAAAATAATATCACCTTTTAGTAGTGTTGTGTTTCTGTCGGTGAATAAGGTTCCATGGGGCCTTCCCCATATGGGGTCCGGGTACAAGGAAAGAAAGAAAGAAAAACATTGTATTGACCTTCTTCATTTTATTGGGTAGGCAAAGGCATGAGGGATAGTTTCGTTATCGCAAGCGTCTATGGTGGCCGCTTAGCATCAGGTGGGCTATTTGATTTGCCACCCTTTTAACATTAAAAGACTTACATTATTAAGTTTGGTTAAAGTTATTACAGATCTGAGACATGGTCGCTGACTGACCCTCATACGTATGCTCCGAGTCGCACAGAGAACGACGAACAGAGCCTCCTTAAGAGAAGTTACTATACTGTTAAAGATTTCATAAATGATAATGCACCTTGGGCTTAATATTATAGACAAAGTCGTTTTACTTTGCTTGCTAAGTTTCTTGCTGGTTCTTCTCAGTACAAGATCTCCCGCCGTAGATTTACGAACCGATGGCGTAGAGTTTGACTTTCACAAAGAGCTTGTAACAGCCTAGACTGAATAAATGAGTTTGAATTTGAATTAGAAGTTGGATTCTCCACACAAATTGAAACTCTCGTCAGGGGAAGTAATCTCCACCTCACAGAAGACCACAGTAAAATAATACTTTTAGTACAGTTGTTTTTCTGTCGGTAAGCAAGGTTAAGTATTAATTAAAAAAAATGTTCACCGGTCCGGTGGATATTAGGGTCCCAAGGTGCAGGCGTGCTCGGAGATGTGGCGCACGCAGGTGCGTCGGCCCCGAGACCGCCCCCATATGGGCGTAGGAGGGTACCGGGGGGTTTTAGTAGAGTAGGATCAGTGTGGCCTTCCGCACTGGTCCTGCTTGAGTAGGGTCGGCACTGTTTCCCGTGCCGGCGAGTCCCACACACGCCGTGTGCCTACTCAGCGTCACGGTATGGTGCGTAACTGCATTTCCCCTCGTCACAAAAAATAAAAAAAAGGGTCCCAAGGTGCAACAGTGTGAGGGCATTCACAGGAGAAAGTGTAGTATCGGCTGACCGCTATTTTTCGTTCTGATATTTTCTTTACATAGGTATCAATAGTTAAAAGTTTTGCTTTAGTATTGCATTAAAAAATTAAGAACAAAAAAATTAAACGGTAAAATGTTTTTTTACAAAATAGTTTTTAATTTATTATTTTTTGTACGATACAACACGGCATCAAAATCTGTGGGTGGACAATCACTCCTATTTCCCTACCCTTAGGGTAGGATTATTGTTTGCAAGTTATCTAGGGCCAACTTTGAGGTATATCCCATCCAATAAAACCCGGTCAAGTGTGTGTTGAGTCACACGGAGTGTAGGTTTTCGTAGATATTTTATTGTGTTTTACTAAATTCAAGGTTTAACGCGATATAAGTAATTACTTCATCTAAGTCACTTTTAATGCGTTCTTCTAAAGATATTTTATTGGGTAAGAATTTTTCTAATACCTTACTTAAGACTATTACTCTGACAAACGGATGCCTTAATCGTAAAATAGTCTTAGCAAACCCTAAATCGTTCAAAGGACCTATTCAACGATCCCCCACTTTACCTGTAGGGGAGCTACCCTAAAAAAGCTTTTTTTATTTTTATGGGACCAACTTCGAAGCCTAAACCTAACCTTTCCAATAAAAAAATAAAATTATCAAAATCAGGCTTCTTTCATCATTTTTGAACATACATAAAAAAAAATTGTACGCGTCGAATTGATTTTTGTTTCGTCGGCTGATAACACCAGCCAGTGGATTTTGTAAGAATTAACTTACTTTTCACTGCGGATTCCGTGTGTGATTTAAATTGGAATACTTTAAATACAAATTCAACTCCCACCCTGGATTCCGTGGTGAAAAAGGGAGTTTGTTCTTAAAAAATGCACTAGCAGGACTTTTCTAGATAAAAACAACCCTAAATAAAATAATAACTTTATTGTCAAGGTAAAATAAAACTAACGCTTGGCGAGAAATGACCAACTTCCTATAACTGGATTATAAAGGACATTGGGCAAAAATGTATGGACGCTGCACCCACGTCCACCACGGCTTAAACTACATTTGTTTGAAAGGTATTATAGTCATAATGATCTGTGCCTCAAATTCCATCCCGGGGGTCTTTAGTTATTTTAAGTTAAATAGTACAACATGGGAATTAATTTAGTTAGTTCGACCCTACATAGGAGGCTCAGATATTATAGGAGTACTTCATAAGGTGCCAGGGTGCCCCTCTCTTTTTAATGAATTTGAGTTCGGGTGTCACCGCTCGCTATGATCTGCCGAACTATTTATCGAAACGCTCATTCCATCATTTTTACCGCTCATTAAATGAAATAACTGCTCAATATGTTTTTCAACTGATCATATAATATCTCGAATATTTAAATAACGGCTCAAAAAATTAGTTCCCTGATAAAAAAGGCTAGTTTTTCATAGATCTATCGATTCATACTAATTACGAGTACATTGTAGGCAAATCTCGGTGTGTTTTGCCGATTGTCCTTTATCATTGTTTATGGGAATGCAATCCAAAAAATAATTTACTTGGCGCTGATTACATTTCTTACAAAGTAACCTAAATGCGTTATTAGGTTCCTTAATGAAATTATTTGGGATACAAAACTTAATTATGCATAGCTTCTATCTTTCGCCCAGAAAGCTTTACCTAGGTCAACCTAGGTAAAGAAGGTTTTGTAAGTTAATTAGTTCTGTCGATTTACTGATATTAAAATATTTTACTGATTTATAGTTTTTCATAATAAAATACGCCAGCGAACTATATAATTTGAATACGCGAATTAAAATAGAAATCCATTTTAATTCGCATATTCAAATTATATGTTTAGGATTACATACACAATTTCAATACTTACGCGCTAATTTGGCTTCGACATTCCACAAGCAAAACAATAAAAAACTCAAAATAGCACTGCACATATACGAACGCATTTTTGTCAACAAAGTAAAAAATAAAAAACCAGTTTTATTTTTTTTGTTATGAAACAAATGAGTATGTAGGCCGACCAATTAGGTCAGTTTCAAAAAATCTAAATGTTTTTCAATAAAACATATGAGTGTATTGAACAATAAGTGTCAGTTTCGAAACTGAAGCCGAGTCTTGATAACACTGCTTTATATCGTCAATCGGAAAGACGTTATTAGACCTTCAAAGGCCAACCGGACAACCGGTTACGAGTTCACTAGGTATTCATTCGCCGATTGTTTATGTCACAGAGTTGCATGATCCTTATTCTCTAATTAAAGGCGCGTTAATTAAACTCCTCCCTGTAATCCTGGGCGAAGGGATAGGATGCGCTAATTATCTCCGAGGTAATGTTCTCCATAAAAGAAGACCTCGTAATTGACACGACCACTTTTTGTCAAATTATAAGCTTTTGGCTTTTGACCGCGACTTTGACGGGTGCTTTGTAACAACATTATCCCTTCGGGGGTTAGTAATAAATGTAAATAGAGGACTTCAGGAACTTCATTTAAATTTGGTGCTTCGTTAAGTCACGTGTTATCTTTTTCTATTGTTATCACATCAAAAGTGGCAGTATTAACTTTAATTAAACTTAAAAATGATTGACCTCTGTAGGTGCGGTTGTTAGGATTTTAATTACGTACTGCATCAATAATGAGATCGTGGTTGTAAAGCAACATTGGATGGGTGACCAAAAACTTATTATCTCGAGCTCCTCCTTGCTTCGGAAGGCACGTTAAGCAGTTGGTCCTGACTGCATCTGCTGTCGTAAGCACCTACCAATTCGGGCCTGGGCCTGCGTGGTGGGTTACGGCATAATTTCTCTATTTCATCCATATGGAACGATTAGAATATCGGGTCACCAGATAGAAAGAGTCACCAAGTACAAATATTTAGGCACCTGACTGACTGAAGACTGGGATTGTGACACTGAAATAAACACCCGCATTGAAGTCGCCCGTAGTGCCTTCAATACTATGAAAAAAGTGCTTACTAACCGTGGTCTTCACATTTCACTCCGTACTCGGCCTCTGCATTGCTATGTGTGGCCAATACTTCTATACGGATGCGAGTCTTGGACTATTAAAATAGAGCTCAGAAAACTTATAGAAGCATTCGAAATGTGGGCTTACAGACGAATGTTGAAAGTTAGTTGGACTCAAATGGTAACAAATGATGAAATCCTGCGACGTGTCGGCAAGAATGTGCCATCCGCCTGAAATACCTCTTGAGGCTTGAAGTACCTTAAGGATCTCGCCGTTCCCAAATTCAGTGACGCTGTAATCAACAGCATACACACTGCGACCAAAAGCATACACACTAAAAAAAAGGAAGATTTTTGATCGATGTGCGATTATGTGCGCCAGTCACAAATTTACATTTTGGCGCTATTATTAAATATTGCATTGTAGGTTATCGATTAGGAATTTAAATAATGTTTGGCGAGTGTTTTTCATCTTTGAATTGCAGTTGACGAAGAATCATTAACCCTGCCTGGGAGGGGGAGGGAGGGGGGCTGGCCCACATTGCACAAGCTCTCTGGATGCTGATGCCCCTAATACTCCGGGGCATCTTCATCGGGGTGGGTCCGATCACGGACAATCACCTTGCGGGTGCGCGGCCAGTCGACAACGGTTGCCCCGACCACACCCGCATTCCCGGCGTGCATTGGGGGGACTGCGGTCCTCAGAGTGTACGCTGGGTGACCGGTGCAGGAGTACTGTCTAGTTTTGGCCTAGGTTTTAGTTTGGTCTAGTTTAGGCCCTGTTCAGGGCGTTAGGTAGGGCCCTGCTCATTTGACCCGGCCCAAGGGCTGGCTGTAATGAGCAGGCCTCCCTGCTCCTGGGACTCCTCAGTCCCACATTCTATCTTCTCGCTCCCCCGGTGGTCGAAGGATGCGTAAGGCATTCATTTTCCAGACAAAAAAGGACTTATACTGTAAAGTCGTTAATAGCCTGCGCAGACGAGGGACTTTTTTCCGCGAACATTTATGTCCGCCGAAATAGATCGCTTTCAACTGCATCGAGTAACATACATGGCGGATTAACTGTACAAAAAAAGGCCGACGAATAACCCACCGAGAGACCGGACAAGATAAAAGTACGCTGGAGCCTCGGAGTCACTAGCCGCAGCAATGCACACAGCGAACCTTAGTCGACGTTGCGAGATAGAAAATGGGTCCAGTATTCAGTTCATAAACGTTTTCAACTTTAGCGGAGAATATTTACTTACAAAGCTTTTAAAAATGTTCGGGGGACGAATGTTTTTACATAGTGTGCGTTGAGTATGTATACTAAAAGTCCTCAGCGGTATTTTTTTTAGGATCGGCGACTTTTTTCCTAATTGTCCCTCGTCTGCTCAGGCCATAATGTGTACATAATTTACTCATACATTGTTCCAAACAAATAATTTACTTGCAATTTGTTTTCCTCTGTCTAAACTATCATTAGCACTGTTAGAATAATTGCTGTTATTGATTTGGATTCCATAATGTCCTAGGGCTGGCCATACTACAACGCGACTCGTTTACTGCTAAGAGCCATGCTACGAGCTTAGTGACTGTTTGTAGTATACAGAAGTTTTGTGTATTGTCGCAGTTGGCCTAGCCATACATAGATAAACTCATTTCAAAGTTTGGCATATCCGTTGGTAAATAACTTATGAGAAGTTCCAGTGTACAGAGTTCTCTACCAAATACCTGTGCCTAAACTCCTGTCATCAAAAGTGTGTCTTCCATTGATTGTGACTAACATTTGCTTTAAATATAGATATCTTACTGAAAGATTATTCTAATATTATGGTTCGATATGTTCGTAAATAGATATATTATTACGTTAAATGAATAACTAATAATTACTGAAATAAAAACACTTATATTTCAAATTCACTAGGTACCAACATTTTTAGTTGACGAATTGTAAATAGAGTTTTTGACTTTTTACACGTATGTAGGTCATTTTTAAAAATAATAACCAGTCATTCTAAAACTAATAGGGTCCTATTAGTTGTACATAAAAATAAATTTCAACGATAACTTAAAAAGGCACAACTGCAGTTACTACTTTTCAAGTTTTAATCTTATATATTTGTCAACTTTGTAGTAAATACATACAAAGCTTACGCGGTAGGTACATGTCACTGATAATTTTGTTCTTTGTTGTTGTTTCAAACCAGCTGGATGAAATTAAGCAGAAATGTTTCATTTTAAAAACAAAAGAAAACCCTTCATTTTACACGACCACAAACCTCCACCGTCTAATGTTTATGAAAACCATTCGTGGTTATCCAAGCGAAAGTCATTAAACTACGTTCTCATATATTATATGAAAAATATAATCGCCTAATCGGTTGTTCCTTTTATTTGAAGGGAACAACGCTCTTTCGGGTTTAATGATGGTTATATTGCCGTGGCCTACAGGGGTACAAGGCATTTAGTTTGTGAAAGGATGATGTGAAGCGTAAAAAAGGCGACTCATAACAATCTTGCTAAGTAATTGCTGAAATTGTCGGAGATAGGTAGCTGGGGTTTGCCCTTTTTGCCAAATGAAATTTCGCCGATTCAAATTGAGATGCTCGATAGCGCCATCGGTTTATGGTTCCTGAGGTTAAGCAACTTTTACAGAATTCTTTCATTGGATGGGTGACCGATGTATAAATTTTTTGGAGAAATAAAAACCATTTTTCCTATATAATCATAACGAAAACATTACCTCGAAACGATTTCGGTCTATGCGCTTTAAGCACCACATCTATGTTGGTTAGACGATCCTGCAAGATATGTTTAATAATCTGCTACAACGTTGCCATTATATTTGCACCGTTTTAGAAAACTAATGAGAGAACTATTTATACCTATACAAACACGTATATTTTAAGCACATAGGTATGTCACTATTACGAAATTACCAAATACTCATCCAAAAACAAATAGGAGTTATTTCTATGCAGTTTGTTTTACGATTTATTTTTAGAAGTGGACCAAGGTAGACCGCTCTTAATATTACGGCATTGCATTATTGTGCTTTAAAAATTGAATGAAAACTTAACAACTGATCCTTAGGCTAAGGTCACAGTAAAAGGATTTTTTAACTGTACTCGGTGAAGTGCGAGGCATCCCAACACAAGTATGAATTATTACTTTTTCGGTTGTTGCACAATATGTTATATTCTGTGGGGGAAAAAAAATATTTTTTTCGTTTACTCGCTGACGTATTACATAAACACCTTGAGCCTCTTCAATTACGCCGTGACGTGGCGTCACTAAGCGCGTTCTATCGTCTGTACCACGGCGAGTGTTCTGAGGAGTTATTCTCTCTTATCCCACCTTCCCCTTTCCTTCCGAGGACCACGCGCGCTGGCTTACGTTGTCACCGTCTAACTGTGGCCACAATTCCAACGCGTACAAAGAAATTTGGTGACTCATTTCTTTTTCGCATTATCCGCAAATGGAATGCTCTACCCGGTCACGTGTTCCTTCCCTCTTACAACGTGGGATACTTTAAAAGAGGCGTGAAGCAGCAATATGCAGGCCAGCAGGGTGAGGATGGCTGGTGTGGCAGGTAGAACTGCTGTATCAGCTATCTTCGCGTCTGGACTTCACCTTCACTTAACATCAGGTGGGGTGGAGTCATTTGTTGGGCCTATCCATAAAAAAAACTAATTACTATTGCTCTCTCTTTAACATATCTGCGGTGGACTTATGTGAGTTAGCTTACCTCAAATATGGTGGAGTGAAGCGCTAGTTGGTTCATGCCTCATCTTCGTGAACAGGTGCTGCCAGTGGGGATGAGTCTGCTCGTAGGACGCGTAAATAAACCACAGGTATACTTAAATCTAAAGATAAGTTTACTAGAAAAAAATCCACGCGGACCAGGCAGCGGACGGGACTCGAACCCGCATCCTTCGCTATCCGGGCGAATGCACTGACCATTATGCTACCACGGCCCTATTAGCCGCGTCGAAATTTTCCTAGCCTTAAGCTGCAAGGCAGCGCCATCTCTTCGCATTGTAGGTAACCCACAATGTCAAATGAATACTTTTTCAAGTATTGGTCAAGCCATTATTAAAATTTCGACGCGGCTAATAGGGCCGTGGTAGCATAATGGTCAGTGCATTCCCGGATAGCGAAGGATGCGGGTTCGAGTCCCGTCCGCTGCCTGGTCCGCGTGGATTTTTTTCTAGTAAACTTTTCTTTAGATTTAAACATCTAGCAGCTAAATGCTTAAAA